TATACAATTACTTGAAACAATTGAACATTTTGAAACATCAAAGATACCAGGCCTGGTCTTCATAGCAGATTTTGAAAAGGCGTTTGATAAAGTACGACTAGAATTTATATATAAATGCCTGGATTACTTTATTTTGGTGAATCTCTTATACAATGGGTTAAAGTTATGTATAGCAACCCCATGTGTAACATTTTAAATAATGGTTACTTCTCTGAAAGTATTACGCTTTTAAGAGGAGTTGAACAAGGCTGTCCGTTGTCTCCATATCTATTTATTATGGCCATCGAAATGCTAGCTATTAAAATTAGATCCAACAAGAACATCAAGGGGTTAGAAATCCAGGGGATAAAAACAAAAGTGTCAATGTACGCCGATGACTCAAGTTTTTTATTAAATCCGCAATCTGGATCCCTGCACGGTCTCATTGAAGATCTTGATCACTTTTCTAGCCTCTCTGGGCTAAAATCTAATTATGACAAGTGTACTATATTATGAATTGGATCATTTAAAGACACAATGTTTACACTAACTTGTAGTTTACCAATAAAATCGGCGGATGGTGAAGTAGACATACTTGGTATTCATATATAAAAAATAAAAAGTGAACTTACCACAATCAATTTCAATAGAAAGTTTGCAAAAATAGATAAGATTCTGCAACCATGGAGAGGTAGATACTTGTCTATTTATAGAAAAATCACATTGATTAACTCTGGTCCTATCACAGTTTACTTACTTACTAATGGCGCTGCCTACTCCAGACAACTCGTTTTTTAAATCATATGAGCAAAACAGATTTCATTTTATTTGGAATGCTAAGCCAGACAAAATTAAACGTGCCTATTTATATAATGAGTATGAGTTTGGGGGGCTAAAATTATTAAATATTAAAGCTTTAAACCTCTCACTAAAAGCTTCACTCATACATAAGTTATACTTAAACCCAAAATGGTTCTCCAGTAGATTATTAAGAAAGGCTCATCCTTTGTTCAAAAATTGGCTTTTTGCCTTTATACAGATTACAACTTCTCATTTCCGATTAACTGATAATGACATTTTGTTTAAAGTATCGCCCTTTCTTAAACAAGCCATACAAAGCTAGTTACAATTTCAGTTCAGTTTTATCTTCCAGAAAAGATAGAACAAATATTACAACAAATATTATGGTTAAACTCAAATGTACTGCTTAATAAAAAAAAAAAGTTATTTATGGATTTTTATTTATTTAATTGTATTATATTTATTAATGATATTATGAATAGAAACGGTGGAGTTATGTCACATATGGCGCTATCGAAAATATATGGGAATGTCTGCTCAAGCCAAGCTTATAACAAACTGATTGCAGCATTACCACTAAAATGGAGGAGGCAAGTGGAAGAGGGAGAAGGTAGGGAACTTGTTTGTTTGCCATATATTAAAGATACAAATTGGCTGAAAAGAATTGCCATAAATAGAAAAATATACCAGTTTCATTTGAGGACAAACATGTTGACTGCTGCGCCATACATGTTGCAAAATAAATGGGAAGATATTTTCGATGTACCGATTCCATGGCACATGGTTTATGAACTGATACAAAAAACAACACTTGATTCAACACTACGTTTTTCAATGTAAATTATTATATAAAATTCTTGCCACAACAGAATGCTAAATATATGGGGCATACAACAATCTCAGCTCTGTAGATTTTGCTGCGAAAAGACAGAATCACTAGAATCACTAGATAATGTATTATTATGTTTCTGGTCACAGGTTCAGGAATGGTTAAAGAATCACAACATTCACTTAAAATTAACCTTACAAATAGCAGTGTTGGGGCGATTTGGAAAGCCATAGTCAGTCAATAAATTATATAATAATACTCGTAGGAAAGGTTTTAATCTTTAGCTCACAATCTGTGGATACTATGCGATTAGAAAGGTTCAAAATGTATGTAAAACATCACAGCACAATTGAAAAATATATGGAACATGGAAACCAAACGAGGGTGGTCTATGGTGATAGGTGGGATGGGCTGAGGGGTGGGATTAAAGCGCTTATGTTCGGTAATGTATTATTGTTATGTGATTGCTGTATATAAAAGTATCATGTATGTAAAATGTATACGTAAAATGTATGTATTATGTGGCAGAAAAGCTGTAAAAAAACAAAAAATATGTGTCCTCCGGAGAGGGATGGGTTAATAATAATAAAAAATAACAAAAATAAACATATGGTGAGCAATATGTTTGGAACTGTGAGGGGCGACAAACACACGCACACAGACACACACAATTGTTTTGTTGTATTGTTTGAATATCGTTGGATTTTAAATTTGTGTGACTGTCTATCAGTGTATCAGTGTTTTGTTACTTGTCATGTTCTGTGTTTTGTGTGGACCCCAGGAAGAGTAGCTGCTGCTTCTGCAAAAGCTAATGGGGATCCTAATAAACAAACAATCATCGAATCGCAATAAAATTGCAGTATCGAATCGCAATGCATATAGAATCGTGAGAGTCGCAATACATATCATATCGGCATCTAAGTATGGTGATAATATCGTATCGTGAGGTTCCTGGCAATTCCCAGCCTTACTGGCTATATCTGTTTACAATTATATTCTACATACAGTATCCATCTAGAACAACGAGAATGTGAAAGGATATAAATAACATGTTTATAGTTGTTGGTAACTGAATAAAGGTGGGTTTTATTGTTCAGTCCTGTACAGTGTAGTCCTAGATGAAAAGGGGACCACTTCTCCAGAGATGTTTGATCGGGTTTGTTGGGAATTTTTGGTTAACTACTCTGTCTCACTTAAGGTCAGACAATATAACAAACAAACTATATGAATTGTGCATGTTGTAGAATGAAACGCCTATAAGACAACATAACAAACCAATTATATGAATTATGCATGTTGTAGAATGAAACGCCTATATGCCTTATATGCTTATGGATTAAGAACCAATTAAAGGGTTAAAACAGAGCCATGATGAAATGGCTCTATAGGTATTTTTCCATTACATATATTATAATATGCTTGAACATGGTAGAGACATTTCTTTAGTGCAAATGCTGTGCTTCTGAGAAAGGATGGTTCCCTCTAGCTCCCTGCAGCTGGTCTGGGTGTGTAGTCAAGGACATGGGATGGAGATAAACTTCAGGAACAGTTAAGACCTGTATAGACCTATATTGTTTCTCGTTCCTTCAGAATAACCCGGTCACACGGTTAAAACAAAGAGCCTCAGAATGACCACAGGGTTTTCAGTTCATCCTAGACAAAGAGCCTCAGCGTAATCACAGTTTTTCAGTTCATCCTGTCTTGAACTATCTTCCAAGGGTGCAGCTGTGTGGAGATAGGAGTAGCAATGGAACTAGTGTTATCACTTGTTTGTGCGCTATGACCTGACACACATAGCCACATACACATAGTCACAAGAAGAAACCATAGTGGCTCAAGGTCCAGGGAGGATGGCTGTTAGGAATGTCTTAAATGTATATGGTTGAGAATGGGTTATGGACATGACATGTTTAAACCATGTTTAAGTATTGATTGATATGTTTTATAATGTGTTATGGGTTAGATGGGATGTTATATGTGCAAATGTATTTGTGGATGGAATACTGTGTGTGCAGATGGGGCCTATCTCTGAAACTGGTGAACTGGGACAGGCTGCAGGAGTGTGTGCACTCCCTAACCTCAAGGCTTCTCCTGACTGATAAGAGATGGCTCTGTTATGTTTTTGCATGAGAAAGCTTGGTCCTGCCACTATTGGTTCCAAAATCTGACTACACAGGAGGAGAAGTCAGAATTCGCCACTATCATAAATTAAGAGAGTGGGCGGAGCGGTCAAAAGATGGAGATTTGGAGACAGTGGTGGGGGAACCAACGAGGGAGGGATTAGGCAAAAAGTATGTCAAATGTGCAGGAATAGAACTGTATATAAACTGAGGGCCAAGTGTTGGGAGTTTAGTTGCTCTGCAGACCAGCTTGGCTTATGTTGCTTTGTGTAATAAAGTATATCTAAATTCTACAAAAACTCTGGAAGAACTTAGATTTTTAATAAAGTATAGTGATACATTTCTACAACAGGTTCAAGTCCGGGCTCTGGCTGAGCCACTCAAGGACATTCAGAGGCTTGTCCCGAAGCCACTCCTGCGTTGTCTTGGCTGTGTGCTTAGGGTCGTTGTCCTGTTGAAAGGTGAACCTTCACCCAGTCTGAGGTCCTGAGCGATCTGGAGCAGGTTTTAATCAAGGATCTCTCTGTACTTTGCTCTTCTATTTAAGAATGATGGAGGCCACTGTGTTCTTGGGGACCTTCAATGCTGCAGAAATGTTTTGGTATGAGAAAAAAAAATGTATGCACTCACTAACTGTAAGTCGCTCTGGATAAGAGCGTCTGCTAAATGACTAAAATGTAAATGTACCGTTCCCCAGATCTGTGTCTCGACACAATCTTGTCTCAGAGCTCTATGGACAATTCCTTTGACCTAATGGCTTGGTTTTTGCTCTGACATGCACTGTCAACTGTGGGACCTTATATAGACAGGTGTGCGCCTTTCCAAATAATGTCCAATCAATTGAATTTACCACAGGTGGACTCCAATCAAGTTGTAGAAACATCTCAAGGATGGTCAATGCAAATAGGATGCACCTGAGTTCAATTTTCGAGTCTCATAGCAAAGGGTCTGAATACTTAACGTATTTTAATACATTTGCTAACATTTCTAAAAACTTGTCTTCACTTTTTCATTATGGGGTATTGTGTGTAGATTGATGATGGAAACCATTTTTAAAATCTATTTTACAATTGGGCTGTAACGTAACAAAATGTGGAAAAAGGGAAGGGTTCTGAATACTTTCTGAATGCACTGTATATTTTTAACAAACTGACAGCTAAGTACATTTAATCTGTTTGTTGTTGCTAGCTACTGCCCTCATGGTACCCATCTATTTCAAATGGCATTAGTCTATTCTCTGAAAACACAGTAGGCCTGTGAATACTTGAGTCATGTCAGGCATTGGAACAGAGAGTAATGACCCCTTGCCAAGCCCTCTAGCACCGAAGAGGAGCAGCAGCCAGACAAGGATGGAGAGGATCTGCATCAGACAGAAGAGGAGTATAGTAAAGAGCAGGTTGAAAGGAGTCTGTCAGTGGACAGAATGGGGACCCAAGGCAGATGATCAGTCTAAAATACATGGGAATCCAACTGCCTCTCAAGTCTGCACAGCCACCTCAATGACACTGTTACCCAAGCAATCCCCTCATGTAAAAACTCATGCACAGGTAAATGAATCTAGCTTTTTATCATACACATTTGTATTCAACTAGATAAATATCTAAGAAACACTAAGTTCAATATCAGAAATATTGAATGAAGTGTTCTTGTGTATTGTGACAGACACTGGAGTGGGCCTTTGGGATGCACCGGGCATTTCCTGTCTTCAGCCTTCAGGACCAGGATCAGCTGGTGATCTTGTATGGTGGCACCTATGTAGCCGTCATATACAACCAAACCTCAAATTCACAACACGTCCTTCAGGTAAGGTCCAGCAGTTGTCTCAATGCACTCAATGAGGTCAGATGCTGGCAAAGACCTCTGGGTATATAGAATGAATGCTATGTCTATGTTGTTAGGAATGCCAGTGTTCAATGGCAAAGGTAAAGCTAAAAAATAACTGTTCAAGGCAAATAGTATTGACACAAACTTGATGTTCACCTACAGGGCCACAGCAGCCCCATTTTGTGTTTCTATGTGAATGAGGATAGGCGCTGGCTGTTGACAGCAGACAAAGGACAGGAAAGTCTGGTGATCATTTGGGATTCCTTTTTAGGGTAGCACTTTATTCTAACAGTACATTCATATTTTCTAGTTAAAATGTGTTCTTCTGAAACAGTGGTTGTTTGGCTTATGTTCCAGGATTCCTGTGCAGACATTATTTGACATGCCACTCTGAGGGGGGTGTTGCAGCTTTGGCACTGTCAAAGGACTCCAAATACTTGGTAAAAGTTGGAGCTGGAGAAGTTCATGTCACGAATTCAGCCGAGGCTCCTTGCTCGGGCAGGCTTCGGCGTTCGTCGTCACCGGAGTACTAGCTGCCACTGATCTATGTTTCTGTGTTCTACTTGTTTTGTCTAATTTGCACACACCTGGTTCCAATTACAATAATTTGTTTCCCTATTTTACAATCTGGTTCCCTCATGGTGTTGTGCGTGATTGTTCGTTGTTTTGTTGTCATTGACATGTTAGTCGGTATTTTCTTCCCTGCGTGGAAGATATGTTATTTACTCTTGATAAGTAAAGTACGCCTGACTCCGTCCTACCGCTACACACTGACGCCTGACAGAATCACGCACCATTATGGAGTCAGCAGGTACATCCATTCCTCCAGCAGGTACATCCATTCCTTTCTACACCTCCTTCCACTACTATTCACCCCACACCGCTGTCCACCCCTTCACCACCTGGATCCAGTGGGATTCGGCTCTCGCTCCCGAAGGCATATGATGGAACAGCTGCCGGGTGCCAGGGGTTTCTGCTCCAGGTGGAGCTCTACCTGGCAACCGTCCACCCGGCTCCCTCGGGATACGAGAGCGTGTCCACCCTCATCTCCTGTCTGTCGGGGAAAGCGCTCGAGTGGGCCAACGCTGAGTGGGGAGGAATAGACGCGGCATCGGTGCGCTATGAAGATTTCACCCGCTGTTTCCGGGCGGTATTTGATCATCCACCGGAGGGGAGAGCGGCGGCGGAACGGTTGTTCCACCTCAGACAGGGGAAGAGGAGCGCACAGGACTTTGCACTGGACTTCAGGACCTTGGCAGCCAGCGCGGGATGGAATGAGAGGGCCCTGATTGACCATTACCGATGCAGCCTACGGGAGGACGTTCGTCGGGAGCTGGCCTGCAGGGACACCACCCTTAACCTGGACCAGCTGGTGGATTTATCGATACGACTGGATAACCTGTTGGCTACCCGCGGACGTCCGGATCAGGGTCCGTCCAGTCCATTCCTCAGCACTTCCGACCCTACACCGATGGAGCTCGGAGGTGCTGATCTAAGGTTGACCGGAAGGGGGGCTGTTTCCTGCACCAACTGTGGCCGCAGAGGACACACTGCTGGTCGGTGCTGGAAAGGGTCCTCAGGGAGTCAAGGCAGCAGGCAGGGCGCTGGTGGACCATCCCAGGTGAGTAGGCACCAGACTCACCCAGAGCTCCCTGTTGCGCACATGTGTGTTCACATAGAATTTCCAGAGTTTTCCCCGCATTCCCAGCATAAGGCGCTCGTAGATTCAGGCGCAGCTGGGAATTTTATGGACCGTCTATTTGCACATAGATTAGGGATCCCTATTGTGCCTGTTGATGTGCCCTTCCCTATACATGCCTTAGATAGTCACCCTTTAGGGTAAGGCCTGATTAGGGAGGTCACAGCTCCACTCTGGATGAAAACGCAGGAGGGTCATGAGGAGAGAATTAGTCTCTTCCCGATCGATTCTCCTGCGTTTCCCGTGGTATTGGGGCTTCCCTGGTTAGCCTCTCATGAACCCAATATTTTGTGGCAACAGAGGGCTCTCAAGGGATGGTCCCGTCAGTGCTCGGGGAGGTGTGTAGGTGTTTCCGTAGGTGGAGAGTCCAAACCAGGTATCCACTATGCACATTCCTCCCGAATATGCCGATTTGGCTCTCGCCTCTCAATTACCACCCCATCGACAGGGGGATTGTGCGATAAATCTCCGGGAGGGCGCTGCACTTCCTCGGAGTCACGTGTATCCTCTGTCACAGTAAGAGATGGCGGCTATGGAAACATATGTAAATGTAAATATGTCTCAGAATCTCTGGGACAGGGATACATTCGGCCTTCCACTACCCCTGCCTCCTCGAGTTTCTTTTTTGTGAAGAAGAAGGATGGAGGTTTACGCCCGTGCATTGACTATCGAGGTCTCAATCAAATAACCGTGAAGTACAGTTATCCACTACCTCTCATTGCTAGTATGACGGAGTCATTGCATGGGGCGCACTTCTTCACCAAATTGGATCTCAGGAGCGCGTACAACCTAGTGCGTATCCGGGAAGGGGATGAGTGGAAGACTGCATTTAGTACCACCTCTGGGCACTATGAGTACCTCGTCATGCCGTACGGGTTGATGAATGCTCCCTCAGTCTTCCAATCCTTTGTCGATGAGATTTTCAGGGACCTGCATGGACAGGGTGTAGTGGTGTATATAGATGATATTCTCATATACTCCGCTACACGAGCCGAGCATGTGTCCTTGGTGCGTAAGGTGCTTGGTCGACTGTTGGAACATGACCTGTACATCAAGGCTGAGAAATGTCTGTTCTTTCAACAGTCCGTCTCCTTCTTAGGATACCGCCTGTCCGCATCAGGGGTGGAGATGGAGAATGACCACATTTCAGCCATGCGTAATTGGCCGACTCTAACCACGGTTAAGGAAGTGCAGCGATTCTTGGGGTTTGCCAACTACTACCGGAGGTTTATCCGTGGCTTTGGTCAGGTAGCGGCTCCCATTACCTCCTTGCTGAAGGGGGGACCGGTGCGCCTGCAGTGGTCAGCTGAGGCGGACAGGGCTTTTGGTCACCTGAAGGCTCTGTTCACCTCGGCTCCCGTGCTGGCTCATCCGGATCCCTCCTTGGCATTCATAGTCGAGGTGGACACGTCCGAGGCTGGGATAGGAGCTGTACTGTCTCAGCGCTCGGGTACGCCACCAAAGCTCCGCCCCTGTGCTTTCTTTTTCGAAGAAGCTCAGTCCGGCGGAGCGAAACTATGATGTGGGGGACTGGGAGCTGTTAGCTGTTGTTAAGGCTCTGAAGGCGTGGAGACATTGGCTTGAGGGGGCAAAACACCCTTTCCTCATTTGGACTGACCACCGCAATCTTGAGTACATCCGTGCGGCGAGGAGAGTGAACCCTCGCCAGGCAAGGTGGGCCATGTTTTCACACGTTTTGTTTTCACCCTCTCGTACAGACCAGGTTCCCAGAATGCTAAGGCAGACGCTCTGTCCCGGCTGTATGACACAGAGGAGCGGTCCAGGGAGCCCACTCCCATACTTCCGGCTTCTTGTCTGGTGGCACCGGTGGTATGGGAGGTTGACGTGGACATCGAGCGGGCGTTACGCATGGAGCCCACTCCCCTCCTAGTGTCCAGTGGGTCGTGTGTACGTTCCGTCTGATGTTCGCAATCGATTGATCTATTGCGCTCATACGTCACCCTCTTCTGGTCATCCTGGCATCGGTCGGACAGTGCGCTGTCTTAGTGGGAAGTACTGGTGGCCTACTTTAGCTAAGGACGTGAGGGTTTATGTTTCCTCCTGCTCGGTGTGCGCCCAGTGCAAGGCGCCTAGACACCTGCCCAGAGGGAAATTACAACCCCTACCCGTTCCACAACGTCCGTGGTCACACCTATCGGTGGATTTCGTTACGGACCTCCCCCCGTCACAAGGGAATACCACAATCTTAGTCGTTGTGGATCGGTTTTCTAAGTCCTGCCGTCTCATTCCTTTGCCCGGTCTTCCTATGGCCCTACAGACCGCGGAGGCCCTGTTTACTCACGTCTTCCGGCACTACGAGGTACCTGAGGATATAGTGTCTGATCAGGGTCCCCAGTTCACATCAAGGGTCTGGAGGGCGTTCATGGACCATCTGGGGGTCTCGATCAGCCTGACCTCAGGGTTTCACCCTGAGAGTAATGGTCAGGTGGAGAGAGTAAACCAGGATGTGGGTAGGTTTCTGAGGTCCTATTGCCAGGACCGGCCGGGGGATTGGTCGGGTTACATCCCCTGGGCAGAGATGGCCCAAAACTCCCTCCGCCACTCCTCCACTAACCTGTCTCCATTTCAGTGTGTACTAGGTTATCAGCCGGTCCTGGCACCATGGCATCAGAGCCAGATCGAGGCACCTGCAGTGGATGAATGGTTTCGGCGCTCGGAGGAGACCTGGAACGCTGCCCATGTACACCTGCAACGGGCTATCAGGCGACCGAAGGCGAGCGCCGACCACCACCACAGTGAGGCCCCGGTGTATGCACCGGGGGACTGGGTCTGGCTCTTGACCCGAAACCTGCCCCTTCGCCTGCCATGCCGGAAGCTGGGTCGGCGGTTTGTGGGGCCATTTAAAGTCCTGAGGAGATTGAACAAGGTTTGTTATAGGTTACAGCTCCCTCCTGATTACCGTATTAACCCCTTGTTCCACGTGTCTCTCCTCAGGCCGGTGGTAGCTGGTTCGCTCCAGGAGTCTGAGGTGCGGGAGGTCCCTCCGCCCCCACTGGACATCGAGGGGGCACCGGCGTACTCGGTCCGTTCCATCCTGGATTCGAGGTGTCGGGTGGGGGGCCTGCAGTATCTCGTGGAGTGGGAGGGGTACAGTCAGGAGGAATGGTGCTGGGTTCCTAGGATGGACATCCTCGATCCTTCACTGTTGAGGGATTTCCACCATTGTCATCCGACTCGTCCTGCTCCGCGTCCTCCTGGCCGTCCCCGAGGCCGGTGTCGGCACACGGCTGGAGCCGCGTGTCAAGGGGGGGGTACTGTCACGAATTAAGCCGAGGCTGCTCCTCCTCCTTGCTCGGGCAGGCTTCGCCGTTCGTCGTCACCGGAGTACTAGCTGCCACCGATCTATATTTCTGTGTTCTACTTGTTTTGTCTAATTTGCACACACCTGGTTCCAATTACGATAATTTGTTTCCCTATTTTACCCTCTGGTTCCCTCATGGTGTTGTGCGTGATTGTTCGTTGTTTTGTTGTCATTGACATGTTAGTCTGTATTTTCTTCCCTGCGTGGAAGATATGTTATTTACTCTTGATAAGTAAAGTACGTCGTTGACTAAGTTCTGTGTCCTGCGCCTGACTCCGTCCTACCGCTACACACTGATGCATGACAGTTCAGGTAAGCTAGTAAAGGGTATGTACAAAATATACCCCAAAATGTTTTCACACAAAAGTTGGCATTTATTTAAAAAAAATACTTTACCTGAGAATGTGCTCACCTCCCAGAAAACTTTAGACCATGCATACACACATCTGCTTGTGGTTGAAATATTGTATTGCAAGCTGGCAAGTAGGCCTAAGTGTTTTGTGCAAATATATAATAAAAATCTTATTCATAAAAAACACAAAACAGAAAAACATTAACAAGAATGCAGCCATTTGCCATTAGTGAGAAGAGCGAAAATCTATGTGTTTTCTTTTTAGAATCGAATAATTAGACATAGGAATCTTTTTCCTATTTATTTTCTTTTCTTTACTATTGCAGAATAAATTCCTCATATTTTCTGGCCGTGATGGGTTCATATTCCCGAAGGAGCCATACAACAAATTATCATGCGCGTCTCTCATTTACAGTAATTGGACCTAGTAGCCTAGTAAATAGATACAGTAGGCTATATGTATTTCAAGTTTTGCAATATCATAGGCAGCACGATTTATAATACCGGTATACAGTCGCATTTAACAGCTGAACAGTTGATCTTTCACATTGAAGTAGGGCTATGTAGGCTACTGTAAGTAGTAAGTATTGTAATTGCATTTTTTTTATTGCCTGCCCTAGACAATGTTTCAGAATTCACGGGCAGATCATATTTAGGTTGGGGGAAAAGTCAATGCAAAACATTGTTGAATTCAAATGTTCTGCTGACAGGTCCACAACAATTTACCGTTGTTTTCTCTTTCAGAAACTGATAGTCCTTTTCCAGATACAGCCAGCATAAATCAGTGCTAAAGATTAAAACAGTTTATGTAAAATATTTGACAGTATGGGTAGGCTACAGTATTGCTGTGCGAAATGAGCCCGAAATCATTGCCTATTTACTTTCAGAGTTGCCTATTTAATATCAGAGCCTGTACATAGGCAGGACATAGAAACCCAATAACATATTGATAAACTAAGTATTGAACAACAATTCGTATTTTGCATGCCGTGCCCGAATGCCACTAAATATCTGTGTGTGCTATTTCTGAAAAGACTGCACATGCGCAAACATTTTGAGCTTTATAAAACTTGGCGCACGCCATTTATACGCATGTTTCCTTTTATAAATCAGACCTGTCGTAGAACTGTGCGCGCGTAAACAAGCATCATAACTCCGCCTGAATAACGAATAACGCCAATCATTCACTTTTTATGGTGACAGTAATGCCCTTACCTATTTGCTGTATAACTTGGAAGTATTGGAATTAGGCCAAGACAGTATAGGCAGATATCTAAAGGAAATATCAATGACGAACTTGATCAAACGTCTTTGGAGGTGTTGGCAGAAATGTATTTTTTCAGTGACATTTGCTATATCTGACGGTTTCTGAAACACAAAAACTATTGCAAATTGTTGTGGACCTGTAAACAGATCTTTTGAATTCAATAATGTTTTGCATTTACTTTCTCCCGAACATAAATATGCTGCACTGCCCGCAAATTCTGAAGTATTGTCTACTCAAAAAAACTAAAACAAGCAGTAGGCCTACTTACAGTGGTAGCCTACACACTTCAATGGAAATTATCAACTGTCTGTTGACCTGTTTAATTCTACTGTATGTTATAAACCGTGCTCCCTTTCGGATGCATAGAGCAAAAACATTGAAATTATAATAGCCTATATAATAGGCCCAATTAAATGAGGGATGCGCATGGTAATTTGTTGGTTGTATGGCTACTTCGGGAATATCATCATGGTCAGAAAATGTACAATGGTTATATGTATTTAGTTTATAAATGAAATATTGTCTAGGCTACTCGAGAAATTTGTCATTACTGTATTCGTAGCCTACAAAGTCAATTGGTAGCTTATCTGTTTACTACTGTGAAGTGGGTTAAATTAAATGAGAGATGGTAGGAATGGTAGCCTATCCTAACTTGTAGTCCTGTAGGCTTTTTCGCGAGTATGAAACCATCTCAGTCAGAAAAGGTGAGGACTGTAGTATTCTGCAATGATCATGGAAGTTAAATAAATAATCGGAAATAGATTTCTAATTATTTTAGAATGCCAAGATAAAATAAATCGATTTTCGCTCTTCTCACTAACAGCAAATTATTGCATCTTGTTATTATATTTAGCTACCTGTTTTTTTGTTATTAATAAGTCATCATATATTCCCCATTTGCACAAGGCTACTAGGCTACTTTGGCCTTCTTGCATTGCAATACTTCAACCACTAGAAACTGTGCATACGCATGGTCTAAAGTTTGCGGGAGGATAAGCACGTTCTCATGTCAAATTCAGTTTTTATAAATGCCAACTTTTGCCTGAAAACTGGGGCATGCATATTACTGAAATATTATAGTTCCTACACATCACCTTCTATATTCAAACAAAATAGGCCTTTTATAGGAAAATGGGAAGCATCATCTTATAGAACTCTGCAATAATGAGACTGTGGTGTGTATGTGCGTGCGCATCCGTTTCAGCGTGTTTTGGGAGTCGAGCAAGTGTCCACTCCTACAACTCAAGCCACAGGTGTCAGAGTCGAGCAAGAGTCGACTCTATTCGACTCCAATCACCACTAGTCCCAACTGCCGTATCGAATGTTAACAGATGCGCTCGAGCAGGCTGCCTGCGCACATTGCTGCGCGCGAAACACATATTCCAATCCAAGTTTTAGCTGGAACTGATATGCCTACCTCGTTATTTAGCTACTTAAATTAAAATACAATTACTGTACGCATTATGTTAATTGATTAAAGGCTTTAAGGAAACATATACTAGTCATATTTTCAGGGTCAAATTCATGTGCAATAATTTTCACTAATTATTGATGGAAATAAATGCGATAAAAAATGGGTTTTGTAAATCCTGGTGGATTGTAGTAGGATATTAAAACAAAATACATAGGCCTACGTGGTATTTGTTAAATTCTGAAAACAAATTAAGTTAGTTATAATAGAACATCAAAACAGCATTCAGTGGAACAGAAGAAAATTTGCAGCACAATAAAGAGTGCAATTAGCTAACACTGACGAAATATTACCATTAGAAGCCAACACACACAGTAAGCTACCAGATATAATTAATTAATTACTTTCACTGTACTGCATTTTAACAGCAGTGACATTTTTGTAAGAGTATCCTGTATTGTGCATGTTTATCTCACATGCTGGTAGCCTAGAACAAATGTTATGGAAGTGAATGTGCATTTTTCAATTGGGTGGACTGCAACTACGAAAAAACATAGCCTGTAGTAAAAGCAAAATCATTTATAGCATTGGATATTCTCTAAATTAGGGACCATCTCTGATAGCTATAGGACTGCAGAGACTGTCACAAGTGAATTGGAGGTGAAATATATCAAATTTCTTTGTTTTTGAAAGTTGGTATTTTATCACCTGCCAAATAAAAACATCAAATGGCGCTACTCCTGAAAAAGTTAATCCGGACGAATAAACTGAAGTGGACTCGGCCCGAGTACCATTAGCCGGAGCCCAGAGTAATATGATTCTGCCGGACTCGGGAAGAGCTGGGCCCGCATGAAGCCCCCCGAGTCCGAGCCATGCCGAGTTCCCTGGGTCTCAAACATAATAGGTCCGTGCCCAGTGTGTTGACAGGGTATAGTAGGCCACAATACCCTAACCGGCTTTGGTGTGCTCTGCCAGCTGTTGTTTGCCAAGTGTGCTAAACTGAATCATGGAAACCCTGCTGAAAAAGAACATTCCTCCAATTATATTAATTGTAATTTTTCTAGTGTCTTATATGCAATGTGTGCATGGCCCACAAACACTATGCACGTTCATATAGATTGGTTTCTATTAATTGAGTAACATTTAGGTAACTGGTCAGTAGTTAAATCTGATTTAAATCAAAAACCCAATATCAACCAAAATAAGACTTATTTTTCATGAGGTCAAAAATAAGTCATGTAGAAGACGTCTTAATCTGGTTGTGATCAGATTATATGAGGTCCAGACCAGATTTCAACCAGTAAAAGACGTCTTTATCACGTCGTATGCCCACTGGGATATAGCCTAGGAAATAGATACCTGTTTCAAATTATTTTAGAATGCAAAGATCTTCTCACTAACGTTCTCTCTTCTCACTAACGACAAACGATTGCATCTTGTTATTAACCTATTATTTGTTATGAACATACCTGTCCATTATATCCCCCATTTGCACAAAATACTAGGCTACTTGCATGCTTGCAATGCAAACTTCAACCACTATAAACTGTGCGTACGCATGGTCTAAAGTTTGCGGGAAGATGAGCACATTGTTAGGTCAAGTTCAGTTTTTATAAATGTCAACTTTTGCGTGAAAACTGGAGCACGCATGTTTTGGGGTATATTTTGTACATAAGCACGGACCTCCATAATACTGAGTCATGTTACGCAGGTAGAAATTCGATAGAAAGAATAATGTGCAATTCAGTTGAACCAGCCGAACTACAATTTTCTTTCCATGTTAAAGTTGAGGGGAAACATAAGTTGTCAAACCTACCAGTACTTTTATGAATGTTGAGATGAGTGTGTCTTCCTTATTTATATTGTTTAGGTGTATGTTAACTGAATTAAAACAGACATACAGTGGACAGGACTTTCTGATCTGCTCACCGCGAGTTTGTACATGGGACTGGACAAATGAGGATCCATTGTGTGTAACTGAACTCAACCTGGAGTATGGTTTTCAGGTAAGTTTTTATGGTCTCAATATGAGGAATTGGAATTTGATTTACTTTCCGAATTAACTGTAATTTATTGTTATGGAATTGACCCCAACCCGGATATTCTGTTTTAAATTCCTTTACAGAATCGCATTGTTTTCCATCCCAATGACAGCACTCAGCTGCTCAGCAACAGTGAGAGCCAATTCTTATTTTACACCAGGGAAAGTACCACAGTTTTGTTTTACTGGTGGTTTAACAACACTAAAGTTAGTAGCTTTACAGTATATGATTGTCAATTTTTTATTTCAGGACAAGCTACACCATGATTATATTGCCCCTAAGCGTCTTGGACAATGTAAGGACACTAGCTGTTTAGTCATTTATAGAACCTGTAATCATGTCATTGTAATAATCATGTTATAATCTCCCCTTTCACTCATGGTTGGTTTTACCATCTTTCCAAAGACTTTCAACAAGGTTGTGGGCATGCTGAGCCAATATGTGTTCCACTGGAGGGGGCTTCAGGCCCTCTCCGCTACCTCAGCAGGCAACTTGGTGCTGTGGGACATGGTTAGGGGCTCCAATTCTCAAGACCCCTCGTTAGGAGAGACATCAAGCTCATCCCCCTCCAGAAGGACAGAATCCCCTTACTCTGACTTACAGTGTGAACATGCAACACTCCTGGTTTCTAACGCTGAAACAGGAGCTTTATCTTTCTACATGGAGTTCAAGTTCCTCACCGCCATTGAAGTATTACAGAGGTTAGTACGTACGGCCCAGTACATCACTGGGGCCAGGCTTCCTGCCATCCAGGACCCTATACCAGGCGGTCTCAGAGGAAGGCCCTAAAAATTGCCAAAGACTCCAGCCCCCCTAGTCATAGACTGTTCTCTCTGCTACCACACGGCAAGCAGTACCGGAGCGCTACGTTTAGGTCCAAAAGGCTTCTTAAAAGCTTCTACCCCCAAGCCATAAGACCGCTGAACAGCTAATCAAATGGCTACCCAGACTATTTGCATTAACCCCCCCCCCCCCCCCCCCCCCCCCCTTTTTTACGCTGCTGCTACTCTCTGTTTATTATCTATGCATAGTCACTTTACCCCTACCTACATGTACATATTATCTAAATTACCTCGACTAACCTGTACCCCCCGCACATTGACTCGGTACCGGTACCCCCTGTATATAGCCTCGTTATTGTTATTTTATTGTTGCTCTTTTATTTTTTACTTTAGTTTACTTATTTTTCTTAAAACTGCATTGTTGGTTAAGGGCTTGTAAGTAAGCATTTCACAGTAAGGTCTACTACACCTGTTGTATTCAGCGCATGTGACAAATAAAAATGGATTTGATTTGAAGTATTGGTCTTGGTATTGCAGCCTGGTATTTGTAGCTGTTGTTCTTTAACTGTTGCTCTGTTTGTATATCCCCATGGTCTTTGATTTCTTAGCTTCATTGTGACTGGTGACACTCTGGTCCATGTGAAATTCTATGATGAGAACTTCAAGCTCATCAGCTGGTACAGTGAATTCAACCTGGACCCAATCACATCGATCTCCTTCTCCAAAGAAGTTCCACCCAACAGCAGCCAGGGTTTTCTGGAAGACTGCACTCTGGAAGCCAAGACGTTTTTTGTTCAGTGAGAATCAGTGTGATGCCAGTTGGTGCCCCAGTGTATGTGAAACGTATCTGCTTTGTCCTACTTCTCCCTTTAAGCCCTCTCTTGTCTGTAGGCATTTTGTCCTGTCTACAGTCAGCTCGATGGTGGTACATGTGAATGCACAGGGCGGTGTGACGAAGACGCTGCTGCGCAAGCATTGCGAGGCACTGCATGCTGTGGCCTGTCACCCCCAGCAACCAGTTGTTGCCTTGGGTACCCACAGTAGCATCCTGAAGGTGTGGGACTATGAGCGCAAGTTGTCCATCTGCAGCAGGGTCTTTGAGAAGGAGAGGCAGATTCAGTGCATCACCTATGACCCCCAAGGTGACCCAGCAGGCCAGAGGCGTTTGTCAGTTTAATTTCCTATAAGTAAAACTATATGCATACGTAGAAAGATCTCACATTGATATTCTCACATTTGATTTGTGGTATAGGGAGAACTCCCCTTAAATACAACATATTCTCTGTCTGTGTTTGTGTGTGAGTTGGCTCAGCTTTGACCAGGCTATCCTGTGTGTCAGTGAACAGGATTATACTTGGTGGTTGGATTTGCCAGTGGAGCTGTCCATGTACTGGATGCTTGCACATTGCAGAGTAAGACAGAGGGGTGCCTCAACTACAGCCAAGACCACATCACTCACATGATCTTCTCTCCAGACTCCCTCTACCTGGCCACAGCGGTGAGCAGACACACTATGTGGTTCTGGCATTGGGATAGGGAAGTAACAGGTTTGAGCCCTCTACCTTGAATCATTATAATCAAACTGAAGCCAACAAATTGCACTTTTCCCTCCTGTTCTGTTGCTACTGTCAGGATGCTGGAAAAGCGGTGATGGTATTTGGCTTGTACACTGGTAGGAGCGTGCAGTGCTGGAAGTAGCTGGGGAGGCACCACTCCCACTATAAGCCCAACAGGGACTTCCTATTTGGGGTGTACCTGGACAGCACCCAACCCAGACTACTCTCCCTGGGCATGGACCAGACCCTCACACTTAGTAGGGCTCTGGTTTACTTACATGCAGTGTTTCTTTACTTGCTGAACCACTAGGCATGCTGAATCACTTTGGATGACTTTGCCTTGGTGTGTGGTGGTGATTGCTTAGGTGGAGTATGACCTGGAGAATAGCAATGAGAATGAGCTGCTGATCCTGAGTGCATTGAGCAGAGCGCTGGGCCCACCTGTATGGCTTGGTGCCCACCCCTCACCACAGAGGACTTCCTGCTCACCGCCTCTGACCTCTACAAAATGAAGCTTTTCAACAGCATCACCAAGATGTGCAGGTCAGCACCCAAATAACAGAGTCTGTAAAAATATGATTAGTCCTCTTATTTCACAGCATCTCTGTGTCATTGGGGTGAAGTATGAAGGCCACAAATGAAGGATCATGACCCTAGCTCTCATTAAATGGCATACATCACAAAAGACAAGGTAAGTGTTGATTCACACCCAATCGTATCAAACCACCTCCTCAGTCAGACCAAATATGTATGAAAGTCTTTATTTTAGGGGCCAGACTTCTGTGTATTTCTTGCCTAATGAAGAGATACTGGTTTCAGTGTCACTTGTCATAATGTCATTGTGTTCTTTTTCAAGGTGGATCTCGAGATTCTGCCCATTGATGGGAACCCCCAAGACCTCTGCTCTGATTTGCCACCCAACAGGGATATCTGCTATGGCCTGCTCCAATGGCATTCTATATGTCTTCCCTGCTGGGGGTCTGACTGCACAGTCCTCTCATGGGAGATTAGTTGAAAGTGAGTAGACCCTTGAGCTTTCCTGTTGAACATACTGAATCGTTGTCTTTTGTTGTGTGTTTAATGCATTAGAGACGGAGAACTCTTTAGAGTAGGTCAAACTGATATCTTTACCATGTAACCATCAATATTCATAACTGTATAGAGTGGGTACATCAGTTGTTATGGCTGTACAATACTTGTGTGTTTGTTCTGACGCTTACATTTTTCCCTTTAGGAAATGGAGGACTTTTTCTATTACTGTCAGCTGCGTAAACAAGGTATTGACTCCATGGAGATCCGACAGGTGTCCACCCAAACCCCCTAGCAGAGGTCCCCTTTGTCATGAGTGCTCTGGGTTTCTTCCCCATTGAGCAAGAGGTACAAAGTCCTTAATGAGGACTAATGTAGTGACTAGGCTAATTTGGAAATGATTGATCAATCTAGTCCTTTGATCATTTTCTGTTTTCGTTCCCCTTTTTTTTTTTACTGATAATAAGTTATAATGAGTTATAACAATGAGTTAGGTTCAGTATAGAAAGAATAATGTTTGTTGATCATGACTCTCTCCAGCTGGAGGACATGCAGAACGAAGTAAAGTTCATCAGGTATGCTGAGACTGGGAGATATGTGACCGACATAGACCTGGAGGAGTTAATTAAGCTGTACGTCAACCACCGGCCAGCGTTTGGCATCTCCAGGAAGGAGTTGCTTCACATCTTCCAGGTCCTGGGTGACCCCTATGTGACGAGAGAGCCTGTAGTGAACAGGGACGAGCTGCTGGAACTCTTCCAGGACAGAGCTGCGCTAGGCTAGCTGCCTGTAAATCTGCATCTTCTTAGTCTCCACACATGTCTGTTTGCTGTGCCTGTATATTTCTATGGAGGGTAATGTCAGTATCTACAATTTGCTAGCCTTCTGTCTTTATGTTCCCTTGTTCTGAGGCAGCGCTGGTATTTCATTCTAATAATACGTCAACCCTCGTTTTGCCTCAGCGGAACACATCACTGAAGACGAGCTGGCAGAATTTTTCACCACACTGGTAGGACTGAATCCAAAGAGGGGGAGATCCGAGCTGGAAGCCTTTGAATGTGATGGTATGTATCACCATGTTGAGCTCAGAGTAGTGTCTAAAAATGTGATAATGAGACTGAGACTACACAGCTTTGATAGTCAACCATTAAAAGTGTGTCTGTGTCTGTGTTGGACAGATTCAGAAGACATGTCGGAGTATGAGGTCTCGGAGGAGATTTCCATGGAAACATTTTCAAATGATTTCCTGGAGATTGTTCCCTCCTCCCAAGAGGGAATGTTGTCCCCCTCGGGGTCAGAAGTTGTATAGGAATTACATGTACTGTATGTGAGAGTGTGGGGCTCAATCTGTAAAAGACTCATGGGAAGTATCTAGTTCATGAAGCACACACATACGATTGACAGCCGTTTCCTCATGGGTGCAGTTTGATTTGCTAATAAAGATCAATTGAATACAGCACATGTTATGACAATTGAAAAAATAAGAAACACATTTGATTGCAAATGTATTTAATTTATTAATCCACTATAATTGCTTACTTCATTGTGCCAAGTAATTGTTTTTTTAAATTAATGTATAAATAGCCTATGCTTTAACTTTTGTCTTCTGGGAGACTTGGAAGATAAATGCTATAAAACTTTTGTCTGAAATAGTGCAACTTCTGTTCAGGCTGTCTGTCTACAAAACACAAAAAATTGTGCGTGCACGCGCTTTGCTTGTTCTGAACGCTGTCCTTGGCGCAGGCGCGTTACTTCCTCCTACAGCTCGCTTCAGTGTGTTTGCATTGTGTCTAAACTGCCGGCGAGTTTAAGAAAATATTTTACCAATAGCATTTATGTCGGGCAGGTCGGTCCGCGCGGAGACACGGAGTAGGGCGAAAGATGACATCAAGCGGGTTATGGCTGCTGTTGATAAAGTACGAAATTGGTAAGAGGGAAAGCGTTATCTAAGACCCGAGAGCAGCAATGCTAGTGGGGGAGGAGAGACCGGGAGAAGAACACATTTATGAAACGAAAGACACATTGAATGAAATTTGGTCGGATGATATTTCGGCTCTTGTGCACTGCGCTCTCGCGCCCTGATCAGAGGAGGTCGCTTAAACACTTATCATGTGGGAATATTACATATATTCATAAAATATTGTGGGTTGAACCTAGAAGCCATTTCGTTGTAGTCACATGAAGCCTTTGCCGTTCTAGCATAGTACATGTACTGCTGGCTTGAGAAGCTTTGTCGGCTACTGTTTTTTCACCGCTCGAATGTTATCAATAATAACATCACAGCCGCCGTTATACTACAGCGGTCAATGGTTAGAATAGTTTCTATGTTCGTTGGGTTTTAAATTTAGCGCTTGGAGAGGTTTTTGTGACCTACAAATATAGGGAGCGCGTGGGGTGGTGGTGAGAAGAGGAACTGTGTAAAAGACCGAATTGCTTTACAATTCTATTTTGGATGGTCCCTATAGTTCAATAAAATTGCAATTTATAGATTTGCAGTCAATTTCATAGATTTGTGGATGTGTTAGTAGCCTAAATGTAATTACCACTCAATTCATTTAAATATTTTATTTGAGGCTATTCGTCTGTAGTCTCACTCATTGGGTAGATTTCTCAAATGGCTACAAGTAACAACAAATTCCTAACTTTCAAATTAACTTTCCACAGAAATGTTGAAGGACATTTTCTACATGGAATTGAAATGTAAAGTGAAAGTTCACAAAAATAGTACTGTTGTTTTGTTGACATTTTGAATTGAACACACAATTGCTAACAAGTGTTCCTCATTCCTTGTGTATCTAATGCAGGGAGAAGAAATGGGTAACAGTCGGTGACACATCCTTGCGAATCTACAAGTGGGTGCCAGTAACTGAACCCAAGTCAAATGATGTAAGTCCACAGGGTGTTTGGGGGCACCAATTGTGCAAAGTGCGGTGGATGATCACCAACATGCTTCCTTTCTTCATCTCCTTTCAAATTCCTTCTGGCATGACCTATATAAAGCGATTATATTGAGATAAAGTACATCATGTAATATTATGTTATACATAATAAATAGCACCACTACAGCATTTTATGTGCTATCTTGCAGAAGAGCAAAAATAAGAAAGGCAAGGATGACAAGTATGGGTCGGAGGTCACAACACCAGAAAACAGCTCCTCTCCTGGAATGATGGACATGCATGGTAAGAGCCAATTCACACCTTAAGCCAACAAAGAGCAAGACACTTCAAACTTATGTTCAATAATAGTTGTAAACTCATCTTTCTGTCACTTTCTGTATCTCTTAGACGATAACAGTAACCAGAGCTCCATTGCTGACTGCTCCCCGATGAAGCAGGAGAACAGCAACAGTGCCAGCCCTGCCCCAGAGGCCTCGGTAACTTTCCAGAGTGACAGCAACGAGGCTAAGAGCGACCAGAGCCAGTCCCCTGGCAAAGAGCAGCTGAAGAGCACAGACAGCAAGAGTGGTCAGTCAATATGCTACCTATCACAGAAAGGGAAAGGGAGAGCATTGCCTTAGTTTCAACTAAATTCTATGAAACCATACCATACATACAGCATCGTGTCCTCATTAAAGCTGTGCTCTTGTCTTACCTTAAGGTCTTTTCCAAGACTAGTGCCAACTTGTCAAACAATATGGCTTAACTTGACAGGCAGAATGCTTTCATCTAGCCCTCATAATCCCAGAATAGTAAAAAAATTGGCAGTTGCACTGTTGTCAATGTCAAAAGGGTACATGTTATGGCTTGTAGAGATGGCATTCATAAGGAACATTTGGTGAACAAAATCATGTATGCCATTTAGCAGACACTTTTATCCAAAGCGACTTAGTCATGCGTGCATACAAATGTTCTTTCATCTTCACCAATGTCATTGGTAGCGTTGGGAACAGTTCTATGAATTAACCCGTCAACATACAGAGAATGGCGTATAATTTTTTTTAGCAAGTTTTTGTTTACATTTTTCGGGCTAGAGATGCAGTTGAAGTCGGAAGTTTACATACACCTCAGCCAAATAGATTTAAACTCCGTTTTTCACAATCCCTGACATTTAATCCTAGTAGAAATGGCCTGTTTTAGGTCAGTTAGGATCACCACTTTATTTTAAGAATGTGAAATGTCAGAATAATAGTAGAGAGAATGATTTATTTCAGCTTTTATTTCATTCATCACATTCCCAGTGGGTCAGAAGTTTACATACACTCAATTAGTATTTGGTAGCATTGACTTTATATTGTTTAACTTGGGTCAAACGTTTCGGGTAGCCTTCCACAAGCTTCCCACAATAAGTTGGGTGAATTTTGGCCCATTCCTCCTGACAGAGCTGGTGTAACTGAGTCAGGTTTGTAGGCCTCCTTGCTCGCACACGCTTTTTCAGTTCTGCCCACAAATGTTCTATAGGATTGAGGTCAGGGCTTTGTGATGGCAACTCCAATACCTTGACTTTGTTGTCCTTAAGCTATTTTGCCACAACTTTGTAAGGATGCTTGGGGTCATTGTCCATTTGGAAGACCCATTTGCGACCAAGCTTTAAATTCCTGACTGATGTCTTGAGATGTTGCTTCAATATATCCACGTAATTTTCCTTCCTCATGATGCCATCTATTTTGTGAAGTGCACCAGTCCCTCCTGCAGCAAAGAACCCCCGCAGCATGATGCTGCCATCCCCGTGCTGGGATGGTGTTGGGATGGTGTTCTTCGGCTTGCAAGTAACCCCCTTTTTCCTCCAAACATAACGATGGTCATTATGGCCAAACAGTTTTATTTTTGTTTCATCAGACCAGAGGAAATTTCTCCAAAAAGTATGATCTTTGTCCCCATGTGCAGTTGCAAACCGTAGTCTGGCTTTTTTATGGCGGTTTTGGAGCAGTGGCTTCTTCCTTGCTGAGCAGCCTTTCAGGTTATGTCGATATAGGACTCGTTTTACTGTGGATATAGATACTTTTGTACCTGTTTCCACCAGCATCTTCACAAGGTCCTTTGCTGTTGTTCTGGGATTGATTTGCACTTTTCACAGCAAAGTACGTTCATCTCTAGGAGACAGAACGCGTCTCCTTCCTGATTGGTATGACGGCTGTGTGGTCCCATGGTGTTTATACTTGCGTACTATTGTTTGTACAGATGAACATAGTAACTTCAGGCGTTTGGAAATTGCTCCCAAGGATGAACCAGACTTGTGGAGGTCAAATTTCTTTTTTCTGAGGTCTTGGCTGATTTCTTTTGATTTTCCCATGATGTCAAGCAAAGAGGCACTGAGTTTGAAGGTAGGCCTTGAAATACATCCACAGGTACACCTCCAATTGACTCAAATGATGTCAATTAGCCTATCAGAAGCTTCTAAAGCCATGACATCATTTTCTGGAATTTTCCAAGACGTTTAAATGCACAGTCAACTTAGTGTATGTAAACTTCTGACCCACTGGAATTGTGATACAGTGAATTATAAGTGAACTAATCTGTCTGTAAACAATTGTTGGAAAAATTACATGTGTCATGCACAAAGTAGATGTCCTAACTGATTTGCCAAAACTATAGTTTGTTAACAAGAAATTTGTGGACTGGTTGAAAAACAAGTTTTAATATTATTTAATTTTTTTGTCATTTTAGCAGACGCTCTTATCCAGAGCGACTTACAGTTAGTGAGTAATGACTCCAACCTAAGTGTATGTAAACCTCCGATTTCAACTACATATTGACAAACCATAATCAATGATTAGGGTATGGAAGATATCATGAAATGCTAAACATGCCTCTTAACAGTATTGTAAAAATGGGCATCTACCGAGAGAGATTTGTTCACAAGTCTGAGCATGTACTCTGGGCAACAAGAGTATCTCATATATTTGGAGAAAGTTTAGCTGTTATGCACTAGACAGGCAAACAGATTGTTTGTTCCTCTTGTGGGGTTGAACAAAGGATTTCACTAAGGCCTACTGTAGTTTCTGTAGTAATGAGCTGGTAAAACGGTCTGCCATGCCAATGCCGTTTAAGGACGGAGTGCAAAACTCCTTACAAACTACAGTGTGTCAACTTGTCATTGATGTAGTTTTCACCAAGTAGCAAGCTAAACACCCTTGAGAGTAGTATTTTCCATAATACAATACCAACCCTTTGTTCTGTACAGTGCCTTGCAAAAGTATTCAGCCCCCGTAGCGTTTTTCCTATTTTGTTGCATTACAACCTGTAGTTTAAATGAATTTTTATTTGGATTGCATGTAATGAACATACACAAAATAGTCCAAATTGGTGAAGTGAAATGAAAAAAATAACTTGTTAAAAAAATATCAGAAACTTTGAACATCCCACCGAGCACCATTTAAATCCATTATAAAAAAATTGAAAGAATATGGCACCACAACAAACCTGCCAAGAGAGGGCCGCCCACCAAAACTCACAGACCAGGCAAGGAGGGCATTAATCAGAGAGGCAACAAAGATAACCAAAGATAACCCTGAAGGAGCTACAAAGCTCCACAGCATAGATTGGAGTATCTGTCCATAGGACCACTTTAAGCTGTACACTCCACAGAGCTGGGCTTTACGGAAGAGTGGCCAGAAAAAAGCCATTGCTTAAAGAAAAAAATAAGCAAACACGTTTGGTGTTCGCCAAAAGGCATGTGGGAGACTCCCCAAACATATGGAAGAAGGTACTCTGGTCAGATGAGACTAAAATTGAGCTTTTTGGCCATCAAGGAAAACGCTATGTCTGGCGAAAACCCAACACCTCTCATCACCCCGAGAACACCACCATGTTTTTCATCGGCAGGGACTGGGAAACTGGTCAGAATTGAAAGAATGATGGATGGCGCTAAATACAGGGAAATTCTTGAGGGATACCTGTTTCAGTCTTCCAGAGATTTGAGACTGGGACGGAGGTTCACCTTCCAGCAGGACAATGACCCTAAGCATACTGCTAAAGCAACACTTGAGTGGTTTAAGGAGAAACATTTTAAATGTCTTGGAATGGCCTAGTCAAAGCCCAGACCTCAATCCAATTGAGAATCTGTGGTATGACTTAAAGATTGCTGTACACCAGCGGAACCCATCCAACTTGAAGGAGCTGGAGCAGTTTTGCCTTGAAGAATGGGCAAAAATCCCAGTGGCTAGATGTGCCAAGCTTATAGAGACATACCCCAAGAGACTTGCAGCTGTAATTGCTGCAAGGAAAAATGCCAAGGGGGGTGAATACTTTCGCAAGCCACTGTACATACATCGACGCCGATTTCTTGCCACAAGATGGTTCTGTAATGTAGAGTTTTAAGTAAGCTATAATAAGGTATTTGTGTCATCACTCAGATTTGGTCATATTATTTGGGAGAAAATACAGGTAAATAAATCGTCCTAGGTCATGTCACAATCAGACCTTGTCTACCAAGATCTGCGATAATACACCCCAAGCAAGGTCACTCATGCCACTTCTGTGAAGTTGAAACTATTGTGGACAGTAAAGAGAAGAATAACATGCAACCCTCAACGGCCACATTGCGTGCGTGAGTGTTGCAAAATACATTTACACATACATGTTATTCAATAATTTCACCCACACCGCTTGTGCGAACGAGTGTCTGCGTAGCCAAACGCTAAAATAGAACTTGGTTCTATTTGACACTCCACACGCTGCAAGTCCCCTCCTCATTGGTTATCAGGAAGATTCAAACCCACGTGGATGCTTGAAAGACAAACGAGGAGAGATTAAATAAAGATAACTAACTAAAAACTAACAAGGTTTCCCTTTTTATCTGTGAATTAATAGTTGGAGTAGAGAAACACGATTTTGTATGACTCCGGGTAAAAATTCTAATGTCAGGTAAAATAACAACCCAATGTTCATCTCCCAGGACAAACTAGCTAGCTAAATGTCCATGAATGTTTTGTGTGTGTTCGATTTGCCCCAAAATTAATATACAATGCCTTCGGAAAGTATTCAGACCCCTTGACTTTTTCCACATTTTGTTACGTTACAGCCTTATTCTAAAATTGATTACAAATAATAATAATCCTGAGCAATCTACACACACTACCCTATATTGACAAAGCGAAAAATGTGTTTACATTTTTGCAAGTGTATTAAAAATTAAAAAAACAGAAATACCTGATTTACATAAGTATTCAGACCCTTTGCTATGAGACTTGAAATTGATCTCAGGTGCATCCTGTTTCCATTGATCATCCATGAGATGTTTATACAACTTGATTGGAGTCCACCTGTGGTAAATTCAGTTGATTGGACATGATTTGGAAAGGCACACACCTGTCTATATAAGGTCCCACAGTTGACCGTGTATGTCAGAGCAAAAACCAAGCCATGAGGTCGAAGGAATTGTCCGTAGGGCTCCGAGACAGGATTGTGTCGAGGCACAGATCTGGGGAAGGGTACCAAAAAATGTCTGCAGCATTGAAGGTCCCCAAGAACACAGTGACCTCCATCATTCTTAAATGGAAGAAGTTTGGAACCACCAAGGCTCTTCCTAGAACTGGCCGCCCAGCCAAATTGAGCAATCGGGGGCGAATGGCCTTGGTCAGGGAGGTGACCAAGAACCCGATGGTCACTCTGACAGAGCTCTAGAGTTCCTCTGTGGAGACGGGAGAAACTTCCAGAAGGACAACCATCTCTGCAGCACTCCACCAATCAGGCCTTTATGGTAGAAGGGCCAGACGGAAGCCACTCCTCAGTAAAAGGCACATGACAGCCCGCTTGGAGTTTGCCAAAAGGCACCTTAAGACTCAGATCATGAGAAACAAGATTCTCTGGTCGGATGAAACCAAAATCAAACTCTTTGGCCTGAATGGCAAGCGTCACGTCTGGAGGAAACGTGGCACCATCCCTACGGTGAAGCATGGGGGTGGCATCATGTTGTGGGGATGTTTTTCAGCTGCAGGGACTGGGAGAATAGTCAGGATCGAGGCAAAGATGAGCAGAGCGAAGTACAGAGAGATCCTTGATGAAAACCTGCTACAGAGCGCTGAGGACCTCAGACTGGGGCGAAGGTTCACCTTCCAACAGGACAACGACCCTAAGCACACAGCCAAGACAACGCAGGAGTGGCTTCGGGACAAGTCTCTGAATGTCCTTGAGTGGCCCAGCCAGAGCCGGACTTGAACCTGATCTCTGGAGAGACATGAAAAATAGCTGTGCAGCAACGCTCCCCATCCAACCTGACAGAGCTTGAGAGGATCTGCAGAGAAGAATGGGAGAAACTCCCCAAATACGGGTGTGTCAAGCTTGTAGCATCATACCCAAGAAGATTCAATGCTGTAATTGCTGCCAAAGGTGCTTCAACAAAGTACTGAGTAAAAGGTCTGAATACTTATGTAAATGTGATATTTCCGTATTTTTATTTGTAATAAATTTGCAAACATTTCTAAACTCTTTTTGCTTTGTCATTATGGTGTATTGTGTGTAGATTGATGAGAACATATTTTTAAATACATTTTAGAATAAGGCTGTAATGTAACAAAATGTGGAAAGTCAAGGGGTCTGAATACTTTCCGAAGGCATTGTAGTTGGTTCACAGTTGGTTTTGATATTTTACCCTCATGATTGCGTCTAGTGTGAATGGACAAAATCAACATGGGCGCGATGACGGACGCACGCGCGTAGTCGGCATGTAACAGAAAATTAACTTGCCTATTGTAAGAATTGTATGTTCTCTTTTAATCAGAACTGTTACAGAAGTAGGACTAGTGTACAAACACTAATGCCTTGTCCTTTCTTATTCTATTTGCTTAAAGCATCTTGTCTACCATGGTTATGCAAACAGACTTTCTGGTATTGCAGGAAATGTTCACTCCTCAGAGTTTTCCAACACAAGCACACCCAAGAGGGACGGAAGGTCCACGGCAGGGAATGAACCATCCTCAGACACTCCTCAAGATTCTCAGGTCCTCCCCTCCACCACCATCCAAGACTAGAATGTCTTTATATATGTTTAAGTCAATTAGACATTTTACTGATGCAGTATAATGAAACTCATTTGACATCAAGTCAAGTTTTCTGAAATAATTTGTTTTATTTTTGCAGGAATCTGAAGATGGCACTCCTCCCAATAAGAAGGGCAAGTTGGAAACTCCCTCAGCTGATTTTGAGGAAATCTAACTTATCTTTTCCCATCACCAATTCTTCGACCTGTCGCCATTTCCTAATCACTTCAGGTGTCTTAACCTCTCCTGTGTCTTCATCTCTTTCTTCTTCTGCATTGGTCCCAGAGGAGTCCAGCATCCCCCAACCCCCTCTCATTTTGCCACTAACACCTGCTGTTGTTTTGGTTCTCTGCCAAAGTATATGTACATACAGTATTTTGATTTAGTCATTTTTGTTGTTTTGCTCAGGAGGGTCAACACACTGTTTGAATCCTTTTATGATCTGTTGGTTCTGCTGCGGTTGTAACCTTTTATTACTTTGACAGTTAAACATGAGTTAAATTAACGATAAGACAACACCTACATTTTTTATTAATTAGTGGCACTCAGTTGCATATTGGTTTCCCTTTCTCCTCTTGTGAAAGCTTGTAGCATAGGCATACTTCCAGGTTTGTGTGCCTTGAATTACTAGAATAATGTGTGTAGATTTGTTTCTATAGTGTGTATACTTCACTCTGGTATATCAATTGCCCATTGCCCAGTTTTTGTTAACCCTTAAAGCATTTTTCAGTGCAAATGTAGGCTGCTTGGTTATAGCTCTTTGAATACCTCACTGAAGTCCAGCAGTGCTGGCAACACTATGTATAGATTATTAAACAATAAGTATAACCTCTACTTGCAAAGTGTACGTGGCCTAAATAGTTATGTTTCCTCGTCAGCCTTTGCCCAACTAAAAATGCCTTATTCAATTAGTCCTACAGAAAGTCAAATGTTGAATATTGTCTTCTTTTGGGACCCCTTATTTGTATTATTATTTTATTAGTGTTGAATACATTTGAGTGGGGTTTAACTAGCATTATTTATTCCACAAATATTAATTGATTTTGCCATGTAAAAGGTTTTAAAATAAAAAATCTACAAAAACAACTTGTTATACAGCTGCCACAGATATAAATCTACAATGCAGATAGCTCTAGTTTAGATCCCTGTAATATGGATATCTTCCGGAATTGAGTCAGAGAGGAAGAGGCGACACAAGGTTTTACTTCAGAATGTTTGTATGGAGGTCAATGAGTGTCGAATTTGGTCAACATAATTTTGTATTGCTAATTTGCTACATGAGGCTTATTCTATTAAGTTTCGTAATGGTTAGGTTATGAATGCACTGATATAAGTGCACTGACATGGCATTTCGGCAACTTTTAAAAAAAACACGTTATATCTGAGTTTTGCCTGTTGTCATAGAGATGGAGGACTCATCATGGCTATAACCCGTTATAGCATGGGCATTGCCATTGAGGGCTTCCACCAGGGCTTCCACCTGCAAGTGGCAGGGCTTGCAAACTACCACAGATTGCAAAGGGAAACCCAGACGTGAGCTGCTCAATAACGTGAGCCTACCAGATGAGCTAAATGCCTTCTATGCTCACTTTGAAGCAAGCAACACTGAACAATGCATGAGAGCACCAGCTGTACCGGACGACTGTGTGATCTCGCTCTCTGTAGCCGATGTAAGACCTTTAAACAGGTTAACATTCACAAGGCCGCGGGGCCAGATGGATTACCAGGACGCGTACTCCGAGCATGCGCTGATCAGCTGGCAAGTGTCTTCACTGACGTTTTTAACCTCTCCCTGACCCTGTCTGTAATACCTATACATTTCAAGGAGACCACCATAGTCCCTGTGCCCAAGAACGCCAACAGAGAGGGCTGCCTCACTTCTAGTTCTTAGGAAACTTTGCAGTATTTTGATTTTTTATTTCTTACATTGTTAGCCCAGAAAATCTTAAGTATTATTACATACAGCCGGGAAGAACTATTGGATATCAGAGTGGCGTCAGATTACCAGCACTACGACCAGGAATACGACTTTCCCGAAGTGGATCCTTTGTCCGCACCACCCAGGGCATTTGAACTGATTCTAGAGGCCGACCCAAAACAACGCCGCCGGAGGAGAGGGAGCCGGAGCGGTCTTCTAGTCAGACTTAGGAGGCAAGTCATTTTGTTCACCTGACCTAGAATTCCTCACAATCAAATGCAGACCGTATTATCTTCCAAGAGAATGATCTTCGGTTATAGTTACAGCCGTGTATATCCCCCCTCAAGCCGATACCATGACGGCCCTCAAGGAACTTCACTGGACTTTATGCAAACTGGAAACCATATATCCTGAGGCTGCATTTATTGTAGCTGGGGATTTTAACAAAGCAAATTTGAGAAAAAGGCTACCTAATTTCTATCAGCATATTGACTGTAGCAACCGCGCTGGAAAAACACTGGACCATTGTTATACACATTTCTGCAATGCATACAAGGCCCTCCTTTCGGCAAATCTGACCATGACTCCATTTTGCTCCTCCCTTCCTATAGGCAAAAACTCAAACAGGAAGCACCTGTGCTTAGGACTATTCAACACTGGTCTGACCAATCGGAATCCACGCTTCAAGATTGTTTTGATGACGCGGACTGGAATATGTTCCGGGTAGCCTCTGAGAATAATATAGACGTATATGCTGATTCAGTGAGTGGGTTTATAAGGAAGTGTATAGGAGATGTCGTACCCACTGTGACTATTAAAACCTACCCTAACCAGAAACCGTCGATAGATGGCAGCATTCGCGAAAAACTGAAAGCACTAACCACCGCATTTAACCATGGCAAGGTGACGGGGAATATGGCAGAATACAAACAGAGTGGTCTTTCCCTCCGCAAGGCAGTCAAACGGGCAAAACGTCAATATCGAGACAAAGTGGAGTTGCAAGTCAACGGCTCAGACCCAAAGACGTATGTGGCAGGATTTACAGATAATCACGGACTACAATAGGAAAACCAGCCACGTCGCGGACACCGACGTCTTGCTGCCAGACAAGCTAAACAAGTTCTTTGCCCGCTTTGAGAATAACACAGTGCCACTGACGCAGCCAGCTACCAAGGACTGTGGGCTCTCCTTCTCCGTGGCAGACCTGTCCTTTACTTAGATTTGTGCGTATTAGGTTTTTGCTGTGGAACTGTTAGATATTACTTGCTAGATATTGCTGCACTGTCGGAACTAGAAGCACAAGCATTTCGCTACACTCGCAATAACATCTGCTAACCATGTGTATGTGACCAATAAAATTGAATTTGATTTGTCTAAATGACTATCGCCCCATAGCACTCATCTGTAGCCATGAAATGCTTTGAAAGGCTGGTCATGGCTCACAACACCATCATCCCAGACACCCTGGACCCACTCCAATTTGCATACCGCCCAAACAGATCCACAGATGATGCAATCTCTATTGCGCTCCACACTGCCTTCTCCCACCTGGATAAGAGGAACATGTGAGAATGATAATTGACTACAGCTCAGTTTAACACCATATTGCCCTCCAAGCTCATCACTAAGCTCGACCCATTGGGACTGAACACCTCCCTCTGCAACTGGATCCTGGACTTCCTGACGGGCCGCCCCCAGGTGGTGAGGATAGGCAACAACCCATCAACCACGGGGGCCCCTCAGGGGTGCGTGCTTAGTCCCCTCCTGTGCTCCCTGTTCACCCACGATTGCGTGGCCACGCCTAACTTCAACACCATCGTTTAGTTTGCTGACGACAAGACGGTGGTAGGTCTGATCACCGACGACGATGAGACAGCCTATAAGGAGGAGGTCAGTGACCTGACAGTGTTGTGCCAGGACAACAACCTTTCCCTCAACGTCAGCAAGACAAAGGTGCTTATCGTAGACTACAGGAAACAGAGGGCCGAGCACGCCCCCATTCACATCGACGGGGCTGTAGTGGAGAGGGTCGAGATCAAGTTCCTCTGTGTCCACATCACTAAGGAATTAACATGGTCCACACACACCAATACAGTCGTTAAGAAGGCATGACAACGCCTCTTCCCCCTCAGGAGGCAGAAAATATTTGTCATGGGCCCTCAGATCCTCAAGTTCTACAGCTGCAGCATTGAGAGCATCTTGTATCTACCTCAATTACCCCTGCACATAGACTCGGTACTGGTACCCTGTGTATATAACCAAGTTATCGTTACTCATTGTGTATTTATTCCTCGTGTTATCTTCCTATTATTTTTGCATTGTGAAGTGCCCTTAAGTAAGCAGTTCACTGTTAGTCTACCCTGTTGTTTACGAAGCTTGTGACATACATTTTGATTTGATTTTGATTTATTTGAAAGTAGTCAACTGGGTGGGAATTCCTGAGTTTGGAGCAATCAGCCAATGAAGAAGAAAATGTACTACTTTTTAAAATGGAGATAACCTCAATGGCGCTGCCCATGCTGTCACAGAGGCTATAATGGCACAGATACAAAGATGAGTCCTATCTCTATGGCCTGTTGTTCACACAACTATTTGCCCTCTCATTAGCTAGAAATGGTCCCACCTGATCTTGCCTCCCGCCTGCCTTCCATCTTTGAGGACATGTATTTCCATTGTTAGATCGGTCACTTGACTATCTTGTCATTATAAAACACTCTTTGGTTTAGTTTACTAAGCTACAGTGCAGAGTATAGGTTTTGACTAGATGGGATACAGTTTGTCAGAACTGAATTTTCATAGCAGGTTAGGAGAATTAACGTAGCATTTTAGGAGAATTAGATTAAGGTTAGGTAAAGGGTTAGCTAAAATGCTAAAAATGTCAACTTTAGATGTCAATTTGACATCAACTGTATACCATCTACCCATGGACAAGAGTATTGGCAGGCATAGCGACATAAAGAGTATGTTTTAATATCATGTACACACATGAAACAAGTCTATGTCCATAAAGCCATTTCTGAAAGCAATCAATATTAAACCTGAAATGTCATTTACAAACAACGAAAGTCAGATACTGTAGCGTTAGAACTCCACAGTAGACTAGACTACGGTCAATGCTATCAGGGATCCTTACGTCCCTACCCTTAACTTCAATGGGGTAGGAAACAGGAGAGACAAATGCATGTTACGCCCCTGAAGACCCTGAGCTGTCAATGGACAGTGAACTTGAAATTGATCCTGACAAAAGTGAGGAGAAAGAACCTGGATCGTCAGGTGGGGTGAAGGCTTCCGAGCCTCACCCCAATGATCAGGAAGACTCTGGCCCAATGGGAGTACGATTCATGGAGAAAGTGGATCCATGCCTTTTGGTCGATCCGTTTGTGGTCTCGATGGGGACGAAAGCGGTGTCCTGCTTACCGAGGTAAAATTAGTTTCATATAGGATATTCGGTTCCCTCGCCAATAGCTATTGAATCAAGCATACCATGACTATGAAGATGGTATATTCTGAATTCTGAAAAGTCCACATCTTTTTATTTTTTAAATAAAGTTTTGGATTTCAATTTTCAATAGCTCTTAGATTCTGAATATATCATGTGCATAGTCATGGCATGCTTTGTGTAAGAGCTATTGAAGATTGAAATCCGAAATAGTATTATTTAAAAAATGAAATATATAAAAAAAGTTTGGATTTTTCTCCATCCACCCCTGATTCAGGATATACTATCTTCATAGTCATGGCATGCTAGCTATTGACGAGAGAACCGAATATCTACCAAATATTTGGTCCTACCTTGCTCTCTGGAGCAGAGCACTGCTAAAAGGAGTGATAACTGGGGCGGGGTTCAGTGTTAAGGTGGATCAACTGAAGTTGGGGGATCCCTGGTGTCTGTGATGCAGAGACGTCACTAGACATTCAGAACACCTGGGGCTGACTCCGGGTCAGTAAACCCATGGAATATGGTGTCAATATATTTTTGTACATCTATTAGCAAGTGCATAATTATATCGTAATTTTGTCATGCTGCGCGCACTGTGCAGTTCCAAAATAATCCAAATGGTGGCAGCCTAAACCACAAATTCATGTTTTGCATGAAAAAAAAGATATAGTTACGTGCAAAATAGCAGGAA